CGTAACAATCGATACCTGCTCACAAGAGAAGATAACACTGCAATATGCAAAGACATAATAGTCAAATCCTTAAATGTATTAAATCTTTGGTTAGGTCAAAATAAAATTTCAGTTAATGTATATAAATGGATTGGTATAACTATTATATACCGGAGATAAATTCAGTATGACTCATAGGAACTGATAGATTAACATATTTATTGGCATTGACTTAATTTAAAACCATTCAGAGCACTTAATTTTATTAAATATTGAACATAAATAAAATAAGTTTCATATTGTATGACAATTATTTTATAATTTAAGACATAGATAAAGGTAAAAACAACATGATAGTTAAAAACAAGTGTTATAAAACATTGACCAACTAGGAGTGGACAACGAGACTTACTTCCTGAGACTGTTAGCGTAGTAGTGCCACTCTGTCCTGTCCCGACCGAGTTGGTGGCGAAACATGTGTACGAACCGGAATCACTAGAGTCGGCTGATATCACCGTCAGAGAAGGGGAGCTAACTGTTGCGCCAGAGAAGTTCACGTTGTCAATTGTGACCGATTGTGACCCTGAGCCGATGTTTCTCTGCCAGTACACTGTGGTGTGTGTGGGACTCGCGGATACAGAACAAGTCAACGTAACAGTTGTTCCCGTGGAAACGCTGTAGAAAGACTGGGCTATGGACACTGTCGGCACATCTGTAATTTAGAATTGCAATACACTTCTTTTAACATATCTACTTTGACTAAAACTTTATCTGTCAAACAAGAATTACAGATACTATATAAATATATAACTCCTCCTATAGATTTTGTTTATATGAAACAATTAAATAAATAAATAGATTTTAAGAACATATTTGACAAACTTGTGTTATCTTTTTCATAACTGTACGTTTTTAGCATTTATTATAAAACTTTTCTTCCTACTGACTGTGATTGTAAATGAATATATGCATGCTCAATGAAGCTCTGCAGGTAAGCTACAAATGCTAACACTCTATCGAAGATTTCCTTTATAGACAGATTCCTGAATTCGCAAAGATGGCAAAGATGAATTGAGCTGTTATATGACACCCTGTAATCCCCGTGCTGTTCTATCCTCGGACTATAGTTTGACTTACTTCCACTGACAGAGAGTGTTGTGGTACTCTGCCCAGTTCCGACGGAGTTCGTGGCAAAGCACGTGTACGAACCGGCATCTCCGCTGCTTGCTGTGATCACCGTTAGGGAAGGGGAGCTAACTGTTGCACCAGAGAAGTTTACGTTGTCCACAGAGACTGACTGCGTTCCTGAACCGACATTTCTCTGCCAGAATACTGAGGTTATGGAAGGGTTACCAGACACAGAACAACCCAGCGTAATTGACGACCCGGAATTGATGCTGTAGGAAGACTGGACTACGGAAACAGCTGGCGTACCTACATATACATATGATTTACATATACAGCCAAACCTCAATATAATGCCCTTTTATATACATTTGTAGTGCCACTTTTCATATAGTGCCCCTTATTATATAATGTGCCTTTATATAGTGCCCCTTTTCATATAATGCCCCTTTTAAAGTGCCCCTTTTCATACAATGCCCCTTTTATAGTGTCCCTTTTCATATAATGCCCCTTTATATAGTGTCCCTTTTTATATAATGCCCCTTTATATAGATTTTCACACATGGAAGTCCAACAGGAGACTTATGTAATGTATCTGGCACAGGTTCAGGTGACAGATATTAAAACTAAGAGGAGTATTTAAGTCCAGAAAATATATAATATCTGTATCTTTTCATTTTAATTTCAATTCTTTATCTAAAATTTCACTTATCTGGGAAAAAACATCCATTTTTTGAGCTTGTTACACTATGTGTACTTTTAATTTTCTTTAAGAATGGTGAAAGTGATTAAATAACTGTACTTACTTCCTGAAACAGACAGGGTGATGGCGCTGCTTTGACCAGT